ACAGAGGGGGGGGGGGGGGGGGGGGGGGGAGTCATGAGAACATCAGAAGAGCCCTGCTGGATCAGACCAGTGGTCCAGTTAGTTCAGCATCCTGTCTCGCACAGTGGCCAGCCAGTTCCTCTAGAGGGCCAATAACAGGGCAGAGAGGCTGAGGCCTTCCCTTGATGTTGCCTCCTGGCACTGGGATTCCGAGGCTTACTGCCTCTAAATGTGGAGGTTCCCCTCATCACCACGGCTAGCAGCTAGAAGATACTCTCTTCAGCCTTTTAATGACCCTGCCAATTTCAGAGCAACAGGAACTGAAGACAGTAGAAAAGAGCAAGAGTCCAGTAGCACCTTAAAGACTAATAAAATATGTGGCAGGGAATGAGCTTTCGTGAGTCACTGGCTCACTTCTCCAGACTAAAGAGTGATCCGCCCTCCATATCACATAATGTGATGACCTAGAAACATGGACACACTGAACCAATGTTCTCTCTAAGCTGTGGAGTCTTGTGAGCAAAAATTCTACTTGGTGAGCTACTGGCATGAAAGTTGTGAACGAGCGATTGGGTTGCTGCATCAATTAGTTTGCTCTGGAGCCATCCCTCCTGAGCGAAGACAAAAATCTGTGAGCTGGAGGCTAAAAAACTGTGAGCTAGCGCACACTAACTCAGCTTAGAGGGAACACTGCACTGAACCCAGAGGAATCACCTGAAGAGCCCAGTGGGTCAGATGAATAAAATCTAAACATAAGAAGATCACTGTTGGATCAGTCCAATGGTCCAGCTAGTCCAGCATCCTGTCTCACACAGTGGCCAACCAGTTCCTCTGGAGGACCAACAATAGAGGCTTTCCCCTAATGTTGCCTCCTGGCTCTGGAATTCAGAGGTTTAGTGCCTCTGAATATGGAGGTTCCCTTCAGTCACCATGGCTAATAGACACTGATAGACCTGTCCTGCATGAATCTATTTAACCCCCTTTTAAAGCGGTCTATGCTAGTAGTTTTCACTACATCCTCTGGCAATGAATTCCACATTTTGAATATTTCCTTTTGTTCATCCTGAATCTACCATCAATTCCAGTGAATGCCCCTAAGTTCTAGTATTTGTGGGGAGGGAGAAAAAGTCAAACATTTGAAGCTGGTGTAGCACAGCAGCTAGGAGATTGACCTCCATGAAGTTCAAACCTCATCTCAGCCACAAACTCACTAGGTGTTCTCAGGCAAGCCACAGCGTTAGTGTATGAGGATAACACTATTGGTCCACCTTAGAGGGCTGGTATAAAGATTACCAGCACAATATATGTGAAGGGCTTTGCACATTGAATGTGCTACATATATGCTAAGTATTATTATTGTGTGGAAATTAAACAGATGTGTAGTATGAATGGGAATATAGAGATTTTCATATATAGGTTTTTCCTTCTTGATTGTTCATATTCATATTTCTCTGGTTTTTATAGATTTATCCGTTAAGTAATATTTTATTAGGATGTTAGAAAGGCCTGTTATATAGAAGGCTTTTCTCTTGTAGGTCTGATATTGTTAGCAACATAATAGGTACAAAGTTCATGATTCTGTAGTTCTTAGGGCAAACCTTTCAATGTCTGGGTCAGATAGGATTTTAGTCTCGTATCAGTAATGAATACTTTTGTTTGGGGAAGAACAAGCTTTAGCTGATATGCCTTAGGTCATGTCAAGTAAATATGTGACGCCATTGCATAGACACACCTTTCTTACATTTGACCAATAAGGAGATTTTTATGTAAATATTGTTTGTTTTTGTAACCAATTATGCTTTTTGAACATTATTCCCATGATGATGATATGATGATGTCAGTCCATGTATAAAATATCATGTATTTCCTGAATATGTTCAGAATATGCTCAAGAAGAAGATGAAGAAGAAAAAGAAGAAAGTTGTCAAATTTTGGTTAACTATTTGGTCTAATTGTTTTCCTATTAAAAGAGGCATGTTTTCTGATTATGCTGAGAAGAAAGCACTCAGTTTTGATGGGTCCTTTGGCCTAACTGTTTTCCATATTTCATTACAATAAAATACAAGAACTTCCTCCTCATTTGACTTCATTTTTGACATGGAATCTAATATGTACAACAGATGGAACAAGAGGTAGTATTATTTAGTAACACTAGTGGGATATTCTTGTTATGTTGGAGTCCTTCCCTTTGGACCGAATCCATCTGTGCTTAAAGGAAACCTTGAACCATTCAAGAAAACATGATTCAATAAAATAGTTCCTTGGGGATCTTACTCCGCACATCTGGGAGATAAAGCAGTGACTATTTAAGAAGCCTCTGTTCAGATCCAGGAAACTGTAGTATCTTTAAGGGGGAAAGTGGTGGGCGATTGCAGCATTTGAAGCACTGATAAGATTGGGGTGGTGGAATGGAGCCACAATATAGATGAATCTTCATCCTTCGCACCTGAAGTTAATGTGACTTTTCTTACAAAGTCTTGACAGAGTATTTTTGGTAAGGAACTGTAAACAGCATAAGAAAGATTCTGATACAAGGAAAACATTATTACCATCCCAGCATTTAAAAACTGTCAGAGCTCATAGAAGATCTAAGAGAAGGTTAACCAGAGTGCAGATGTTGCCCTGACATAAATTTTATCTGGCCTCCAATGTCCCCACTGAATTTTAATCAGGATATATTAAAAAGTGCTGCTCACGGTTTCAGTCATTAGGGAATAGGATTACCAAATCTCAGTTAGGAAATGCTTGGATATTTGGGGAGGGGGGTGTCTGGGGAGGGTGGGGTTTGGGGAGGGGAGGGAAGGGACCTCGGGTATAACCCCATAGAGGTCACCCTCCAAAGCAGCCAAGTTCTCCAGGGGAACTGAGCTCTATAGTCTGGAGATAACCTGTAATTCTGGGAGATAGACACGGTTGACCTGGAGGTTGGCAACTCTAGTGCTGGGTGATCCTCAAGAGGAAGGGCAATTCAACGACAAGGAGCCACTACTGAAAAAGCCCTGTCTGTGGTTGCCACCCACCTCGTAGCTGTAGGTGAAGGCACAGAGCAGCACTTAGGAAGTGAACCTTAACTGGCAAGCTGGACAGTATGGGAGGAGGAGGTGGTTCTTCAAGTACCCTCCCCTCTAGCATTCAACTTTAAAACGTAAGGCTCAGCACTCTGAATCTCTCATGGAAACAGGCAGCCAGGGCAGATCTTCCAGCACAGGGATGAGCGTGCTGCCTGTATCCAGCCCATGATGTTAACCTGGTTTTCATATTTTGGACTAACCTAGGCTGATCTCATCAAATCTTGGAAACTAAACAGGGTCAGCCTTGGGTAGTACTTAGATGGGAGACCCCCCAAGGTAGTGCAATGTCACTATGCTGAGGCAGCCAGTGTCAAACCAACTCTGTTCATCTCTTGCCCTGAAAACCCTACAGGGGTACCGTAAGCCAGCTGCAACTTGACAGCCCTTTCCACCATCCCCACCCCAAGAAGAGAGAAACTGGCCATTCCTGCCCAAGACCAACCCTTGCAATATAGGACCTATGTACGCATGCAAAAAACAAAAAAAAGACAGCTAAAATCTGCTTTAGTGGCTAAAAGTCTGTTTTTGATGCTTGGGAAAACAAATTACCCATCTCACTTTGATCAATGGGTTTTGGGACTGTTGACACCGGCATCAATGAACATGATACATTTTGTTAAAGAATATGCTTTTAGGGAGCTATAATCAGATCTGGAGGCACTTAAGAGTTCTGTGCTCCGGCGCAAGAGGACAGTGAGTGATGGGATGGTTGCTGTAAGGAAGGGTGGGAAACAGAAAAGCGGGGGAGGGGAGACCTTGACAAGAAGGTATAGAAGTTTTACATAATTGTTTCCGTAAAACGTCTCTG